CCCCAAAACCCCAAAACCCCAAAACCCCTGGGATGATATTTCGGTTGATATTTATAATATTTTTAACCTGCAGTACATCCATTAATTCTCAACTGAAATGGGCAAGATATATTCCAGCTTGAGAAGCAGGCTTATAACTAAGCAGAGCAGTCTAGAGCAACAGCTCCATAATGAACTAATTGAATTTAACGAAGGCATTTTAAAGTACTACCTTGAAGAGCAAGAAGGAGCCTCTTATAATTCATACTTTAACTTTGAAGAGTATGCAGATGTCAGCCTTTGAAGAGAGGTTAGCACTCTTAAGCCTGTGGTCAAGAGCCTCCATCTTCTCAGCCTGAATTATGTCTGAAAACATAGCAAACTGAGTTCTATTTCATCTCACTGTAATAGGTTGTTGAGTAGTATCAAGGCTCAAGTAATGAAGAAGCTTTACATTTCTGGTACCCTGTTTGTTATGCAAGACTTCAGTCCATATGCCAGGAACATTTACAAAGCCATGAATGCCACATGAAATGTCGTCCAGTTTAGTAGGTTGAGGATATCTCACAAAGAGTTCGGACGTATCTTGGTGTCGGCTCCTGAGAGTTGTAAATTAATCTTTGAGCTATGCCATATCACAATAAACCACTTAGGCTACTTATAAGCAATGCGAGAGTAGCAGTCAAGAGTTTAGTTCTATTCAGGAACTCGATCACTCAGCCTGAAGAAGACAATGAGAACTTTGATAGGCTGGTTGAAAAAATAGCACATTCAAGACTAAATGACAGTCTGACCTTGCTTACTATCTTCACTGATAACATCATTAATGACGAAAATAGTCATATCATGCTGTGGACGGAGACTTTACGAGGTAACATCACTGTCAGGATTTATTAAGCTCATTTTGAGCACAAGCCTGCTTCAAAGTTATGACATCATATTCATGCTCTACTTATTTTATCACTGATTCTGGAGGAGGGCATCATTACTTCCATTAATCTTTCAATAGAATATTGAGTTATAGGGGTTTTGGGGTTTTGGGGTTTTGGGGTTTTGGGG